TTACTGGGGCTTTGGGGAAATAGATTTTATATGTGGTGTTGAAGTTCTTATAAAGGTTTCTATTTTTAGCGATGAAAGATTTTGCACACGGTAACTTTATCAAATATATATATTTTCTAAGAGTAATTTATATAATTGCATCGGCAGGAAATCCTCTGCTGTGCTGCAGTGTCGTGCAGCGTGGAAAGCGACTGCACGGTCACCCGATATACCTTTTGTCTGTAGCCAATTTCTGAAGAAGGTCATTCTATAGGGCCCGTTGGGTGGAGGAGACATGGGCACACGGGGTGCAGTTGAATTTCCTGTGTCATGACTTCAGTGTGGGATCAAATGATGCACAACATTCAGAAATTGGTTTCCTAGAATAGAAAGTGATACTTAAAACCACAAGGGACCATTTTGCAGATGGCATTGTGCACTCTTATTGGACGGTTTAGAAACCGACTTGTATGGAAGCTGAGATAAAGTTAAAGCTGAACTCCAGGAAAAGCGCACACACACTTTTTTTCACCAATCTAGTATTAAAAGCCATTATTACTATTATTATTATACAGGATTTATGGAGCGCCAACAGTGTGCGCAGCGCTTTACAATATAAGGAAGACATTACAACCACAATACAAGAAGGGAAGGAGGACCAGGCCCCTGAGGGCTCACAATCTAAAATTTTCCAGTACTGTTATCTACCGTGACTGGAAACTTGGTGAACCCGGCCGTAAACCTTGCTATGGTGACCACGGCACTCTGTGGTTCCTTTTTAAATGTCCTCGTTAGTATTTTAATTGATCCCTCTGGAAATTAAAAAGTCCCACTCCGCTCCAGGTAATCATCACCACAAGGGTGCCAGGTCACAGCTCGTCTCAGCCATATGACAATGATCTATAGCTGGGGGTAGGCAATCTCGGCCCTCCATCTGTTGTGGAACTACAGGTCCCATGAGGCATTGCAAGGCTCTGACAGCCACAGGTTGGACTCCCATGCTGAGAAATGTCGTTTCACCACAGCTGGAGTGCCAAGGTTGCCTGCCCCTGATGTATAGAATAGAGAAGAGCTGCACTCTTGTTCAATCATGTAGTTATATTAAACAGTCTCTTGGTACATGGTCAGACCTCCTGGGCTCAGTTCTGATGTGTGAGCGTAATCGTAGAGTCATTCTATGGTTGGGCCCATACAGAGCGAAATGCGTTATGACCACCTGATTGAACAGCAGCTATTGTCTCCTATGTATTATGATCCCTCTGGATCTGAAGCTGTACATGGGGGGGGCCTCGATTTTCTTTCCCAATATGAGATTATGTCCTGTCTATTGTAGTGATAAAGTTCAGCTATTGAATGTAGGAACTTTATTGGGTACTGGAGGCTCTTGCATTCGACAGAAGGCGGGGCTTGGCACCAGGAAGGTGGTAAGGGGCTAACCTTGCCTTGGGCATTAGTCAAGGCCTGATGTACACCATGGGCCCAGGATTGAGGGTGGGACACAGGGATTGATTGTAAGGCGAACACTTGGTGTACACAAGCACTCTTATAGGTCAGGTTCCTTTTAATATTGTGTCCCACAATCCTTTGCAAAGCCACAATCGGGACTTTGGAGGTTCTGCACTGTGAGCCAGTCAGCTGCAGTTGCGTATTGATCGTCCTAACATGTTTCGGTGTATGGAGATGCTTCAGTGACGTATAGGAGGAGGAGGACCTCCAGAAATGCTTATCCATAGTCACAATCAGAATGCTGGATCTGGGTAGGTGACTCAAGCAGCAGGCTCTGCAGAGTGGTGTCACCGTCCTGGCTATATACTGTAGCAGCGTGGTGTCACCGTCCTGGCTATATACTGTAGCAGAGTGGTGTCACCGTCCTGGCTATATACTGTAGCAGAGTGGTGTCACCGTCCTGGCTATATACTGTAGCAGAGTGGTGTCACCGTCCTGGCTATATACTGTAGCAGAGTGGTGTCACCGTCCTGGCTATATACTGTAGCAGAGTGGTGTCACCGCCCTGGCTATATACTGTAGCAGAGTGGTGTCACCGTCCTGGCTATATATTGTCGCAGTGCGTTTGGCTGTTTTCCTGGAGTTCGGCTTTAACTCATTAACAGAGAAGACACTACTCTCCAAGTATCTCTGTGTCTCGTTATTTGGAAGCTTGCACCCAATTTCCTGGCCTTATTTTTGGGGTATCATTTCCGTGTGACGTGAAGCATTAGGACTGTAATATGGGATCAGACCACTGGGGTCGCCTTGGAAGGGTTTTATATTTTGTTCTGTTTTTGGTTTGATCTGTTTTACATGTTGAGGGTTCATGCTGGTCTCTCTGGCAGTGAAGAGGTTAACGCCGCCATAGCACCGTCTACTCCCATTTTCTACTATCTATAGAGCGAGATGTGTAGCCTGTCCCATGTCTGTCTGCAGCGCGCCAGGATAGATGGACCCGCTGGCTTTCGTTCCATAAAGCTTACACAGTAAGGC